GTGATTGTATTTTGGAAGTGTGTTGCTGAGCAAGATCTGAAATGAAGAATCCTTCCTTGTAGTTGTTTCCTTTCCTATTTTATTCATTAATTCAAAGAAAAAAAAATCTGTGATAAGAGCAGATGCAACTCACTTGATTAAATGATGAAAAGCCTTGTAATATCTAAATTAAAACACATGTCTAATTCATTCCCTTTAACTACATAAATACCCACACATTTTTTAATAACATGAAACATGTATTTTCCTCACAGTTACAATTAAAAAATGCAAGGGAAATACTTAGGAGCATTATTAATATGATAATTCAGTGTTGTCTGATTTAGCAAGTCAATTAACCAGATCAAGGCCAGAAGATCTTATGCTTCTTTTGCTTGACTCCTGCTGAGTTAAATATGACTTTTGCTATTCAGAGATCAAGTAACCACACTGTTAATTGTACTAGAGGTACACAAAGAGCATTAGAGGGAAACATAATGTGACAGGAAAATCAGAGAACCCATAGGATGGAAACAACTGCCAGCCTTTATACAGGACAATAGCCTGCTATGCAAAGGAGAGTGACAGCTAGGAGGAAGTTTCAGTTCTGTCCAAACATTTTATTATTATTGTGTTGTAATAATGAGCCAGCACAAGGATGACTGTGGTTGAAAACTGAGTTAGAATGAGGCACTAAGTCAGGCCAAGAATGCACCAAAGTACATCCCTGGAGCCAGTTCACAGCAGCAGCTGCTTGGTGTGCACTGGAGAATTCCCAGCTTTATCTGCGATTGCAGTTAGGGATTGAAGGATCCTTTTTACCTCACATTTGTATCACTCTGCTTTTAGAGCCTGGCAGCAGCATCAGAAACACCTGAACCCTCCATTACATGAGAGCACGAAAAGCAAAGCACATATGGGGTCCAATTGCAGAAGGAATAAAGCCAGTGCTCACATTTAGTGATGGACTCAGTTTTCTTTCTGCTTTATTGTATAAAGTCTGCTGTTCTGCAATAAATATGAAGGTAGAGAACCTAGGGAAAAGCAGGGAGAAGAAAAATTAAAAAAAAATCAGTGGGATTGAGAAAACTGCACATGTAGGAAGGGGTTCTGGAGCTGCAATGTTCCCCTGGGTGCTGATCGCACACCTACTATGGAATTGCTTTGATAGCCACATTTACAGCAGGAGAGGAATATCTGAAAGGAGGTGATGGAGGCTGAAGAGGGAGAACTCATGGTCTTTTGAGACTGGGGAGGAGATGCAGCTTCATGGGAGCAGAGATATACAAAATATAGTTAGTGGCAAAAACCACACTTTTTATTAAAAAGATCTATAGCACTCAGACCCATGACTACTCAACTGGGAGATTTTACCCAGTACAAATATAATTTTTTCCCCCCCTTTCCTTGTAGCATCTTAGGTAAAACCTGTGAAAAAGTTTTCTTTGAAATCTCAGTGTATTGGGTTCCAGCCAGCCTGCTCTCCCACAAGGGAGCCGCTTCACTGGTGTCAGCTGGTGGGTGTGCTGCCGAGCAGAATCTGACCTTTTGACCTTCACGTATTCCAGAAATAATTTGGGAAATGTGGAAGTTTTTCTTAGCCTTCAGCTCTGAGGTGGTTTGTAATCAAAGCCAATACATAGCAGTAACAAAAGGAAGCTGTCACGTTGATAACTCTGCACTGAATGCAAGTGTAAATGCTCTCTATCCACAAACAGCTACTTTTTGGTGCCATTCATCTTCTGAATGCATGCTTGGATTTTACTTTGGCTCTTTTGTAGATGTTTGTTTTTGCAATTTGGACAGGTGAAACCAGCAAGTATGCAATTTGTGTAAACTAAGTGGTCTGTTAAGTGAAAAAAGCTTTAAAGTATACTGGCTGCAGCTCTGATTTCCACTCCAGCAATTCCAGCACAAGGACAGGACATGTGGATGAGTTCTTTATTTTGAAAGCAAGTTCCTTTAGAACAACAGAGTGATTTTTGAAAGGTGTGGATATATAAGAATGATGAGATTTATAAAAAAGTCCAACAAATAAAAAAACATCCCAATGACCCAAAAGCTCAGAGGCAAAAAAAACACCAAAAAAAAAAAAAAAAAAAAAAACAAAAAACCAAGCAACCTGTGAGTGAACTTAAAGGCTGTTATACTTTTTTTTTACAAGTAAGATGACAATCTATATTTCAAAACTAAGACTGTTCCATGGAAGAGATCTATGGCTGGACTATTTTGCTATGTCTTAGTATAAAAAAACAACCCATCTGAAAATTTTCCCACTAGATATCCTGATGAAAACCAGAGTAGTGGCATAGATCCAAAGGAATTAATGGAGATATATCAATTTGTACCTACTGCAGATTTAACTCTTGATTTGTATTCAAGAGCTTCAGATCTTAGGAATACAACTAAACACTGATTTTCTCTATGATATTACTTAGCAATGGATGCTGTAAAATTCCTCTAAGTTGAGAAAAAGAATAAAGAACAAGTAGGGGAGAACTAAACACAAGAAGAAAGGTCTAAGTGGCCTCTGCATTTATCATTGGGCAATCCCTTGTAGCTGAGGGCTGAACTTTGTTTGCTCAGGTATCTCTACAGCTCATGCTCTTGTGGGAAAGGAGCTGTGTGGCACCATCAGTGACAGCAGCAATGCCTGTACTGGGCAGGTCACCAGTTCAGGAGGAGATATTTTGTCCTGTGGGGTAGCCCACATTGTTTCTGATGTCTTCTGGATCAAAAGCTGTGTGCTCAGTTCCAATGCAACAGATAGTGGAGTGGCCTGCATATTTTTGCCTAAGAAAAACAAAAACATATTTCAAAAGTATGGGCCAAAAAAGCCAATATCATCCCACACCGGATTTCTAATACATTCTAGCAATTTTAGAGATAAAAATAATTGGAGCACTACCAGCTAAAAACTACCACTACCAGTTCTTAGTAGGGGAAAGACCTACATAGTCTTGGTGATGATATGGACAAAATGGGAAATGGGTAAAATAACAACAGCACAAAAAGAGTAAATTCATCTTGCTACCACCCATCTAATGTGCTGCTTCATACATCCACCCTTACAAGAATATATCTTTAAATCAGTTATTTCTCTACCAGTGGGCCATTAAAGTGCCCTGGAAAGAGGTAAGACATCTATTTTGTAATAACTTTTACTTTACCAGCAGATGAGGAAAATTTTGAAGAGATGAAGCACCAAATTTGATTTAGTTATCTTTACATTATGAAAAATATCTCTATTCAGAGTTTCATACTCTCCTATATTTTAAAGGTTATTGTGAGACCTCGGTGGAAATAACCTTGGACTGCACGCTGTATGCTCTGAGGGAAAATAAAGCCCCCCTTCACAAAAATGTTTTCAAGACCAAAGCAACACTTTATCTCATGCATCTGTGGCCATATCATGACCATGGACTGGTCTAGCAGGAAAAATGCTTCACATGTTAGTAACTGAAATATGTTAAAAAATGCAGCAATGGCCTAATTTCTGTATTGTGCATAAAATATCATTATTAGTTTCAAGAAGCTGACCCTGGATCTGGTATTAATCCAGCAAGAACTTATTTTTATCTCAACTATGAAAAGGAAGAAATTATCAAATAGCTGTTAAAGTTAGCTTAATACAGCCACACTTCCATTTACTAGCAGTTCAATGGTATTATGCTCGTCTTTGTACATTCTTAATGTTGGCTGTTGATTTCTTTTGCTTCCTATTTTGTTGAGCTCTGTAAGGTCATCCAGAATCATTCACATGAATCTAAAGTATGGCATGATATTTATTTACTGTCAGTTATTTCTTTGCCAAAATAGAAAATGGCTGTAGACTTAAAATAGATCCTTTCATTATTCCCCATGGTCTATTCAAACTCAATAAGCTGGAGCCATTAATAGAGCCAAATTAAATTCATGTGGCTGTCTGATAAAATTTAACACATATAACACAAGATGAGAGATACTCAGAACCTGTGGTTTTTAATGACAAAACAAACCAATAAATCATATCAAATGATTCATATAAACACATAATAAGAGCATCTATTTACTTGTCCAAACCTTGAGAAAAGTAATTTGTTAGTTTGAGCAGCATAGTTGTTGCTGAGTGCTTTTCTCTGCCTTCAGAGTTTGATGTACGAACCAGATTCTCTGGAAACAAATCGGATGTTGTAAACTTCTCTTTTGGATTTTGATTTCCTTTGGTCTCACAGACTGCTTGCAAGGATATTAGGATCATTAAATATGGTTATTTCTTTAGACATTTAATAGAAACTCAGTTCACCTGGTACTCCTGGTTGTTGGAAAGGAGCTCTTTGCCCTCTGGCTGTCAGCTCTCATGTAATGACTGCCTGCTTTGCCACAGCCGAAACCTGGTGCAAACCCTACTTTTGAGCACAGGTGTTGCCTGTAACACATAGACAGAGTAAACATGTCCTCTCTCTCCCATCTGACTTCAGTCCTGATGTACCACTGGAGTTTTGACAGGAGTAATGAACTCCTGCTCCACCATTACAACAGACAATGGAGAAAAACAAGGATACAGGGCTGCTTTATTTAGGCACATATTTTAGCCAGAACTTTGTGTGCAGTGAAAGAACTGAGGGAAAAAATCTCTTTGCTTCATCTCTTAGTGGTAGACAGAACCAAAGCTATAGAGAAAAGTTCCTATAAATTCACCACTTCAAAATTTCTTAGGGATATTTTGGGAGTCACTGTAAACAGATATAAAGTAGAAATCGAACAGATTTTAGAAATATTTGTTTAGAAAAGGATACCTGCACTGTAGAAAAGAAAACCAAGTATTTCTTAGAGGGTCTTAGAAGCTGTCTTCTCTTTCTCTTCCTTAGGAACCTCTGCTGCTAAAATTTGACTTTCATAGGTAGCAAGTGCTAAACAAGATGTAACACCTCTGTGTTTTTGGCCTGTGGCAGTTACTGCATTGGACTTGATGAGGCTGAGTGAATTCCCACAAAGTGCTTGCTTCTGTCTGACCATACTGTGTTTTCCCCAGGCAAGGCCACACCTGTTGTTGAAGCGGCTGTAGGATGCTATCCATGAAAATGAATCCCACAGTCTATATGTCGAGAGGAAGGGATGGTTTAAGGATGCTGTCAGGGTTCATACTGATGGACGAGGCACAGGACACTGACTACTAGCAAAGGTGAGCTGAGCATTTGATTTTGTTATTGTTTATAAGGGCACACTGTTGCTGTGATCTTCAAAGCTGTGGTCTCCTTTACAGTGAAGATGGAGATGCCTTTCATCACAGATAGAGAAGGCATATATTAGTTTCAGAAACTGCAAGTGTAGGCTTTAGTCAGGGGACTAGCTCAGAATTTTCTCTTAAATCCCTTTGGTAATTGTGGTATTGATGATACTTCATGAAAGATGAATTATATATGCCTTTAAAGTGTCAATTTTATCATGTCCATTAACATAGAAAGACTTGTATTGCTTGAGGATATGAATAGCAGCTTACCCCTACAGAAGAAATTACTGGGATCCTCTGAATTGTCCTGTTCTGAAGAATACATGAAGGACTGTGTGACAGGAGGAAGTGCAGCTGGCTCTGTTGGACTACTCCTACATATTTTTTTTTTAACTTGCCTATTTTTGTTGGATTTTATTCTTGAAAATATCCCTGAAGTATTTATGACCAAAATTCTTTGCACATGATTACTAACTCTTAAAAGGAGTCTTTTTCTCAAGAGATCATTAGATGGCTGGAATGGTTGACCACAAAGGAAAGGCAGAAATTTCATTCAGAAATCAAAGAAGAATGACATGAAAGAGAAAGCTAAAAGGAATGGGAAAAGGGAGTTTGAATATGCCTTACATAGGCCTATTGAGTTCACATTTTATTTGTACTGGGTAACATGAGGAACAGTACTGAGCACTGCAGTGAAGCTCCAGGGAGCTTTTTAATTCTTTCCTTGCATCCCAGAATTGATTGTTTTCTGAAAACAGGTACCTCAGGACTCTCTGAGTAGCTTCTAGCTTTTTACCATGTCTTCCTTTGTTTTCACACTGGTGACTCTCTTATTCCCAGACCCAGAAAAGCCATATGACTCTTGTTCCCTAGTGCATGAACTGACAACTAAACTGCCCCAAATTTTAGCCTGCATGAATAGCAGGAGCTGATTCTGTCTCCTGCCATGTACTGCTGTGTTCTTATTTACCTATGTATGAACTGATTTTGCTGGATGGACATGATTTTATGAGATCTTAAAATTTACAGGCTGAAGGAACAAGAGGCTCTCTCCTGGAGTCCCTTTTCTTAGTCTGTGGTTTCAACACTCAACCTCCCAACTTCTCTTAAATGAACTAATTTCTTCCATAAATGTGCATCAGACAAGACCTATTGATTGGCCTCACTGCTTTTCTCTTTAAAATGAAATATTGACTTTTTGCAGTAAAATGATACTTTCATACTTAAACCAAAAAGGCATGGATGTCTTGTACTAAGCTTTTGGAGGTTAGGGTTAGAGAAAGGCAGTCACTCTTGAGATCCTGTTGTATCATGTTATTTTGAATGAAAGGACAATGAGAATTTGGCCACTGCAGTATGTGTCCCTGTGCTGGGATAAGAAGAGGCTCCATAACTGCACTTCTGAAGGGCAGATGCAGAGGGAGGGTAGAGAGGATGGACTGGATGGTGGCTTGTTCACTTCCTTACCTGCACTCTGACACCTGCACAAAGTTAAAGAGAAAATCTGTTACACCACTTTATCATGACTTGAGATATCCATGTAGTAGCAGTTGCCCTTAAAGGCATCTGTCAAAGACTTTCTGGATGTGACTATGAATGGCCAGAGCCATTTACATACTGGTGGGGTGTTGAAGAACACTGGGTACTGCTTGCAAGAGATGCAGAGTCAGGTTTTAATATAATTTGAATCCAAGAAACTCCATTGAATTTCTGTAGTTTATATTTGATTTACACCACTTGAAGACCTAGGAAGAGGTGCCTGAGGTTGCTTATTTCTATAATATAAGTTCAACAAATTCAAACTCATCTGGAATAGTCTATGTCTATTGTCTGCTATTCAATTTGCATTGTCAGAAATTTTTGCCTTTTTGCTGGAACAGTAACCTCCAAAACCTTTGTGTTAGCTGGAAACCGTAACATTAAACCCTGGATCAAATACCCAAGACTTATGTTAGTTCTGCACAAATCTTTATAGTGGTCTCTGGTGAGTTTAACTAAAGTTAATAAATGCTGAAGTCTATCTAGTGACTCTGGGCATTGTATATGACTTCTGCCTGGCAGATGGACTCTATGGAATTGAAGCAGGAGGAGAGTTTTAAAAAGGCAGCTGGGCATTAACTGGGAGGCAATATGACATGGATACTCAGCTGGTCAACAGCAGAGAAGTTTCTATCCTAAACTTACTGTTTACTTATTTTTTTATCTTTTCCAGATTAAAGACAGGGTAGAAAATGAGTAAGCCCCCTTAATGATAGGATATATGCAGAACAAATAATGTCTCCCAAACAGTCTACATGTGCTTCTATTTATAGTAAACTGAGGATCCAGAAAACCATGGAGTAAATCTGTTTTTCTGAGGGCTCTCACTGTACTCTACACTACAACCCAATCTGTAGAATAAAAACAAAACATAAGGTGGTACTGTCCTGGCAGAGCAGACTTGCTGTGTCTGCACGTCCTATCTTTTCTGTTGCAGATCTAATGGTCATTTTACTCTCTGATATAAGTTAAGGTCGCTTCTGATGTGGCTTTCAAGTCATTAACAAGTAGTTAAACACATAAGGAAACTACGTTCAGTTTATGCATATAACTAAGTTATATGCAAGGAAAATTTTACAAGTAATACATAAAATATGCTGAGAGTAATTTATAAAATTAATAACTGGATTTTGTTATTTTATGAAGCGGTAATTTGAACTTGCAGGCTAAATTTTGTCATCAGTTCTCATGGAATTAATTTTTCTCCAATTTAGGCTGGTGTAACTGAGCAGAATTTGTTCAGTATGTTTAAAATAGAGACAGAAATTACTCATAACCAAGGCACTTCTTCACTACTATTCACACTTGTTCCCTTAGCACTGTTGTTGCCGTTGTTTTTTTTTTCTATGGCAGCAAATAAACAAATTAACATAAATATTATTTGGTAGGTTGTTCTATTTAAAGGTGTTGAGCCCATGGAGAGAAAAAACATTAATGATGAAAGCTACATGAAGATCCACCTCCTGCAGACTTTGTGTCTCTGTGATTTAAGCAACCACTCTAAATTATTCTCTAGGTTTCCAGACCAATTTTGTTCAACCTTTAGTTAAAGATCACTTCTAGCAGGCAACCAGTTTTATTAATCGCTTGGGTGGTCATATGAGCCAGTGTACTCTCTACACATATGTCTTGTAATAACTCTACAGTGACCATAAAACTGCTGCACGTTTTATTATATGGTGACATATAGGCAGGAGAGAAGACGTTATAGCTGTAGGTGAAGCATATTTATTGTAGCCTGGAGTAGTGAATGAAAGTGATACTCAGGATTTAGAAAGAAAACCCCATCACTAGAGACAAAATTACAGTGTGGTGCTGCTTTTCCTTCCCACCAGTGTTTCTGCAGGGAGATCTGCAATGCAGCCTGCAATTCCAGTCCACAAGGGCTAAAAATAAGTGCCCAGTGCTTGCTAGTTGCAGCACTTCACATCACACAAGCATGAGGGTCCTGGGGAACTGTGGTGAGGGCCCCATGATCAGTAAGCTGCACTAAGAGGCTGGCACTCTTGCAGGAAAAAAAATACCTTGTTTGTGAATTTCTGGAGCAAGGATGATCCTCCAGGTGCCCCTTTGCCTTTCTGCTGCCCCCAGCGAGGATGGGGACCTAGCGGGTATCCAGGATGGGCACTGGGTTATTGGGGTGTTATGTTTGTCTGTACCTCCTTCCAGCTGTGCCTGCCCTGGTGCTGGTACTGCTGCCTAGGGAGCAAATTGTTGGGTGCATTCAGTGCAGCTGGCCCTCGCCTGATGTCAACCCGCATGTACTTGCTATAGATGGGTGAAGTAAAAACAGCCCCTGCTTTCCTGTTTACGCACTCAGGCTTCCTCTAAGAAGTTCTTGAATAAAAACAGCTGGGCTTGACAAAATAGCCTTTCTATTTATTGCGCTGGGAGCAAGCACAGTGATGGTGGAAAGGGGTTGGGTTGACCTAAATCGCCTGCTCGCGGTTGGGGGTGGGGTGGCACCGGGTGGCTTTGCAGAAGGGGGCTGCTTGTGACCTGGTTGGTGTGCTAGGCCCTGGGTCCAGGGGCAGCCCATGCTTACCACACTCCACCACACTCAGAAACCCTTTTGTGAGAGATCAGGAAAGAGAAAAAGTTCATTTTAGTGGCTTTGTGGTATCCCAGGCTCCTTCCTTCTACCCTGATGAATTCTTTCTTCCAGTCCTTCCCAGTTAGGCTGTTAAAACTGGATTTTGGGTGTTTTCCAAGATGAGTAAAGGAGATGTATTTTCAAATATGATTAGACGAGCATTTCTATAGATAGGAAGATGTTAGATCCTGTGTCTTAATAGTCTTTGGGGTAGTGGCTGTGACAACTGTTATTCCTTTTGTTGTCCAGTTGTGGACAACTGTTAGTTCATTGTGAGAAACAGGACCTAAATTATTCTTAGAGACATGGACATAGGATGACTGCAGTTGAAAGGGACCTTGGAGGTCATCCAGGCAAAACTTCTGCTCAAGTCAGGGCTAACAAGGATATGAGGAAATGGAATGAAGCTGTGTCAAGGGAAGTTCACAGTTTGAATATTAGGAAAAGGCTCTTCACACAGAGGGTGGTCAGGCACTGGAATAGGCTCCCTGGGGAAGCAGTCACAGTACCAAGACTATCAGAGTACAAAGAGTGTCTGGACAGTGCTCTTAACCAGATGGTTTACATTTAGGTATATACTATTAGGTAGTTCTGAGAGAAAGAGGGATTTGAACTGATCCTTATGGGTCCCTTCCCACTTGAGGTATTCTATATGATTCAATGATCTAACTTACAGCTATGTCTGACTGCTAGATGTATCTTAAATACCTCAAAGGATGGAAATGCCACCAGCATCTCTGAGCCCCTGTCCCAGTTTTGCACCTCACCAGACCTGGTCAGATTTTCCCTTGTTGCAGCCTTTTACTGCTGCTTCTTGTCCCTTCCCGTGTTCCTCTGAAGTGACTGTAAGTCTCCTCTACAATCTCCCACTATGTAGCTCAAGACAGCAATTAGACGCCTCCTTAATCTTCTCCACATTGAAAGACTCACCTTATCAAATATCAGTTGCTCCAGTTCCCACACTTCTGCTGCAGATATTCCTAGCTGGACAAAATCTCTCTTATAAATGGGCTCAGTTAAATTACTCAGTTAAATGGGCTCAGTACCCTAGATTGAGACACAAAAGTACCAAATGGACTCAGCAACCTCCTCCTTTTATCTTCTTGCGACCACCTTGTTAATGCAGCCAATGCCTGGTTAATCTTTGAAAGATGCACCGATTGTTCACATTTAACTTGTTGTCCAATACCAGCCCAGCACTTCCTTGCAGAGCTGCTGTCCTCAGTCTGTTCTTCTGCATCAGGTCAGTGTCAGCTCTAGCACATATCTCTGAGGAACATGGCTCTTCAGTGTAATTTCTTCAAAGTGTTGACTGTAGTTCTCTAAGCCTGCCAGCTTAGAAAGTCTTTCACACATCTTGGAATCTGCCCAGGGTCCATGTCTGCCCCGTTTGTCTCCAGGGGTGGTGCCATGTCAACATGTGGGACTATGTCAACAGGCCTGCTGATGTTGAGGCAAGTGACATGCACTGTTTTGTTTCTCCACATAACCAGTCCACCTATTGTAGAGAGCAGCTGAGTCAGCCAGGCAGTTTCTCATTGGTAAATTTATGCTAGTTTCTCCCAGCTAACTTCCTAAACATGGTTCCTGCAAGAATATCTCTGTAATCTTTACCAGAACCAAGGTAATTCAGAGTATTCCGTATTACTCCATCTCCTTGATTTTTTGAGGTTGTTTTTGACTGACTGCAATATTCTTCATATATGGGAATTATGGATTTTTAGATAAAAATATGATTGATTGATTTTAAGATGTAAATATGAAGCCTAGAACTCAAGGAATCCATCAACTATTCCTTAGTTGTCCACATTCCCTAAAAAAACAGTGTTTCTTATTTTTAGGTGCTTGTCAAAATACATGACACATAGAAGCTACAGGTAGCTTTCCATTTCTTTATTTACTAGAGACAGGATAGACTCATAACATTGGAAAAAATTAAAATAATAATATAGGTCAAAATTAGTAAGTATATCTGAAAATCAGAATACAGTTGTAATTCTGTACATCCCAAGTGTCTAACATCCCAAGTCTAACAATTAAAGCACTTAAATGTGTTTTCAAGTATAAGAGTTTGTACAGTGCAGCTCATTTAAAATTAAAGATTTTGAAGGCATTTTGATGGATTTAAACTAAAAATGTGTGTTTAATTTTATAAATCAGAGTCTCTCACCAGTGAGACAGCCCAAAACCCCAAACTTTACCATTTGAACAGGAACAATACTATTGAAAGAACCTACTAATAGGTCAATGTTAGTGTGTGTAAGTGAAGCAGCAAAGGGCAAAACCATAGTCATTCACGGAACCTAGGTGATCTGTTCAAGGAAACAAGATTTTTGGTATATCTGGATTGAGAAAATGAGGAAGAAAAAGTTCACCTGACTCTTCTGTCTTAGGTTAAATCGTGAAAATTTTTCTGTGGTGCTGCCTGTTTTGACAACTTAATTTCAAATGTGTATAAGGTGGCACTGGACATGGTGTTCCTACATGATCAGACAGCCATTCAATGAGCCAAAACTAATTGTGCAGTTGAATAAAATAAATTAAGAAGTGAGAAACATTTCTATATTAAAAAAAGTATCCCTTTTTATTTCATCTTATTGCTGGATTTCATTGTTCATTTGCTGTTCTTCCAGCCATAAGCCATTTGGCTTACACACGTCTGGCCCACATTCCTGCAAGAGGTCTGCATTTACTACGGTGAGAGAGTCCATCAAAGAAAAAGAGAGAGATGTGAAGAGAAGATTCTTGGAAATTTGATGACTGGAAAAATGATAGTTCTTGCCAAGGATTTTTCTGAAGACTGGAAAAAACAACAGGACTGGGGACCAGCTATCTGTGGGGTAAGGGAACTTTTAGCATTGACGTCTTCCATTCCTCAGAAAGACACAAATTCCAACCCATTAATCTCTGAAGGGGTCAGCAAGGTCTCCTGCTGTTCATAGTGCATCGGCAGTCAAAAATATTCTCAAAACATTTCAATAGGATTTGAGACCTCTATCCAAAACATTTTTTTAAATGTCATCTGACAAATAGTATTTTTAGCACAGCCTGATATTTATTAAAAGCTTAAGAAGCTGAACAAGGTATCATGAGTTAAGAGTTTACAAAAAGCTGAAAATCTTTCTGGTTGTAACAAATGAAGCCACTGACATTGCTACTAAATCTTACAGGGTATTTATTAGCGAAAATGATAATAACTTTATAAATCTCAACAGTGTGTGAGAACAGGCACTGATTTAAGGAAAAATTACTTTGAGCTATGGTAAGAAGAGGTTTCTCAAGACCTTGGCCTCCTTGTTTCATGTATAAAATTCCACCTCTCTGCTGGCAAAGAACAGCCCTTGTCTGACTGTCAAAAAAAAAAAAAAAAAAAGAAAAAAAAAGAAAAAAAAAAAAGTCAGAGGCCTTGCTCAGATAATTGAGCCCTACAATGGCAAAGATGGATGATTTCTCTTCTACGCTTGAGAGGAGGAACTATAAGGAACACCGCTGGAATCATGTTCAAATGATATTAATTAGGCTATCTTTAATCATCAATAACATGGACTACTGTTGCCACTTAGACTATTGAACTTTCAGAAGAGTTTTTAAGTTTCTCCCAGTAGTTGCAAGGTTTGGATGCTTTCAGTGAGGTTTTCATGCATTCACAGCATTCCTGATGTTTTAGGAGCAGCAGTAGCTTCTGATGAAAGTGGGTCCATTAGCACAATTGAGCCCTGTCAGCCTCAAGCAGCATAGTGTCATCACCAAGTTGCTCTCTGTCATTAATACCACAGTGCAGGTGATAATTAGTTTTGTCCATAGGTTCTGTTAGTTTAGCAAATGTTTATTCACACTGAAGCATTTTTTATTGGCAGAGAGCTCCAAATTCAGACGAATCACAATTATTTTTAGCAAGTTTAGAGTAATTGTTTTCTGAGAACCACAATTATTCCTTCAAAAAGTCATATATGTAGGGCTCCAACAAAACACAAGCTATCCTAAGACAGGAGGACAGAAGGTGCCTGCTAATCTTTTCCTGTAATTTTCTTGATCTTACAGTGCCTTGTAATGCTGAGGAAATGAAACAGTGAGCCAAAACCATATCCCCAGGGTGTTGCCAAAAAGACTCTTTGTCCCTGAACTGTGAAGATTATTTTTTATTTCTTGCTCCTGTTTAAAAAATGATGCATAGGCTTGTTGGGCCTTTTCTATTTGGTGAAATGATCACAACATGAACAAATCAGACATGCACAATAAGGGGAAGAGAACAATGTGTGATTACTCTTAGCACCATTGCAGGAATAGCTTTAGCCTGTCAATGCTTCTCTTGCAGGGTTTGGGTGGACTCTGCAATGCAGAAGGCAGTGATGAAACATCTGAAGACTAAGTTGCTTGACACAGAATCACAGATTCACACATTCACAGGATGGTTGATATCGGGTAGGATCTCCGGAGATCGCCTAGTCTGGCTCCTCTGCTCAGAACAGGGTCACAGGAGGCTGTCCAGGACTGTGTCCACCTGGGTTTTAAATATTTCCAAGGATGGAGTCTCTGTAGCCTTTCTGGGAAACAAGTCTGGACATCGGATACTGCTGAGGAAAGCCTGGCTCCATCTCCTTCACCTCCCCTCCCACTGATAAGCTCCACCAAGCTTTTTCTTTCCTAGGCTGAACAGTCCCAGCTCTACCATCCTCTCCTTATATGACAGATGCTCCTGTGCCTTAATCATCTCTGTGGTCTTTTGCTGGAGTCACTCCAGTATCTAAGGGACTCTTTTGTGCTGGGAGCCCAGGCTTGGATCCAGCATTCCTGCTGAGTCGCACTCATGCTGAGAGAAGGAAAAGGGTGACCTCCCTCAGACTGCTGATAACTTTTCCTAATGCAAAGCAAGATGCTGCTGGCTTCAAGGACACACTGCTGGCTCATGTTCAACTTGGTGCCACCAGGGTGCCTAGATATTTTTCTACAAAGCTGCTTTCCAGATGGTCAGACCCCACTTGTACTAGGGCCAGGACTTGGGATTTCTCTTTGTTGAACTTCATGAGACTCCTGTTGACGCATTTCTCCACCCTGCAAGGTCCTTCTAAATGGCAGCATGTCATGCTCATCTGGTGCGTCAGCCACTTCTCTCAGTTTAGTATTGTCTGAAAACATATAGAAAGTGCATTGTGTCCTGTGATCCAGGTCATAAATGAAGACACTAAAACCTGTGGGGCTCAGCACCAACCCCTGAGGTGCTCCACTGGTGACTAGCCTCCATCTGAACTTCATGCCACTGATCACAAACTGAGCATGGCAGTTCAGCCAGCTTTCCACCCATCTCACTATCCACTCATTTAGCTCACTCAGTATTTCACTTTGTCAGTGAAGATGTTATATAAGACATTGTTGAAACACTTGGTAAAATCAAGAATAAAAATCTTTACTGCTTCCCCCTGATCCACCAAGCCAGACTTTTCATCATACAAGGCTGGACATGAATATTTTCTCCCTTGTCAGGATCTTTTGCTGCTTGTCATGATGTTTCAAAGACAATTGAGATTGACCTTCTAGTGACATTGGCCAGGTGTCTCTGCATGTGTGTGTTTGTCCTATCAAGTCTCATGTTCTGGTTTATATTTACTAATCAGATTCTTCTCTACTGTGGATAAGTCTTCCTTGCTCCAGATTGTCCTTCTTGTCTCATGGCCTAGAATTGCTGAAGACTTCTCTAATTGGTAAAGATCAAGGTGGAGAAATCATTGGGAACTTCCAGGTCCTTTGTCTCTAGGTCTCCTGCCCCCTTCAGCAGCAGGACCACATTTTTCCTAGTTTTCCTTTAGCTGCTCATATACCTTTATAAGCCCTTTCAGTCACCATTTATATCTCTCCTGAAGCTCAACTTATCATTTTCTTTGGCTCCCAAAACCCTGTTCCTGTGCATGCAGACAGTGTCTCTGTAATCCTGAGTCACCTGCCGCTGCTTCCATCTCGTGTATGCTTATGCACAGTGACAATTCATATCTCCACCCCTCCCTTCCCCTTCCCTGCTGCTTGGCAGGCAGACAGCTAGGCCACTGCCAGAATTGCTCAAAGATGTAAATGGTTTGGCTGTCGTATAAGGCACTTATCTTTAGGTGACTACCCAACACCGCAGCAGCAGAAGTTGCAGCCAGAAATTGAGTTTCGAGGTCTTGACTAAAATGCCTGCAGTTCCCATCAGTGACTAAGCACTGGATATTTTTTCATTAGCTCAAAGTCACAATCTCAATTACTGTGAAAAGCGCTGTGCTCTTTTCCCCTGCTGATGGCTTGATATCCAGATTTAAGCCCCAAACACATTTTCAGAACTTGGCAGGTGGAGACAGCTTTAACTGTGACAAAGATATTGAACCAAACTGTCATGTGGAGGACAGGAAGCACATGAATATTTCAAAGGCAATAACTAATGCTCTTGCTGGTGACTGTCTTTTGATACATCTTTGTTAAACTCTGAATAGCTGTGATTTTGCTGGCAGTGGCGTCTTGTCTTAATAAAGCAAGAGGAACATATGCTATATTGGCACTGTTCATGTGTTGGGGAGTCTCACCTTTTCCTTCCATCGGTTTCTTTCGGAAATTAATTACCAGAACAGCGGTTATGACATTATCCCTCTATTACTGTGCTTCTTGACTCTGTTTTCCTTACTAGCAAGGCCATTTTTGTGAGTATGTCCATAATGCCATACAACACCTAACCCATTTGACTCCAAAGAAGCAAACATAACAATAGACTGGTAATTACCTTCTATCATATTACTCTGTGAAAAATTGCCATTTAAATGCAGGCTAAGAGGCCTCAGACACAGAATGGGTCAACCAGATATGGGCAAGTCAGTGTTGAGAAGAGAAACAGAATCACAGAACCACGGAATCACAGAATAATTTGGGTTGGAAGGGACCTTTGAAATTCAACTAGTCCAACTCCCCTGCGATGAGCAGGGACACCTTCAACTAGATCAGGTATGATAAGCAGGACAGTCAAGGCACAGACTTCATTTTCATGTCGGTGTCTCATGACTTGCCTGAGTACTGTGACAACCTCGGTGGCTGTAGGTAGGGACAGAAGAGGTGACTATCGGGTGTTGCCCATGTTTTTGACCATCTGGCTGCTGGAGTGTCCTCTGGGCCAGCAGGACCTGCAGCTCCTGCTGCCACTTCAGTTGCTGCCATCTAGTGTCACCTTGTGGGAGGACAAACAGCAAAGGCTGTGCCTGCTCTCAGCGTGGTGAGATCAGGGAAGATGCTTCCCTTTTGCCTTCAGAATCAATTTGACTAGCAAGTGTGATTTCAGCCACGGGACAGGCTAGATTCACACAGCTTTTATCTCTATTTTACCTGCTATCTCGAGGCCAGAGCAGTTATTCAGGAGCCTTGAGCTATAGACACTCTTTTCTGCTAAATGAATTTGAACCCACATCATCTACTTCCCATGAATATGCCCTCAATAGTAGCATAAGCACTTTCTTTTTCTAACCTATTTCTTGTTCTGCCAGATGTGATCACCCACTTGCCTCTTCACTTCCACCACAGTGGCTTGGATTTGCTGTCTTTCTTCTGTGTTGTGCTAGTAATTTGGATCATGACTAAAGTGAGTCTTTTTACAAGTTTCCTGAGGAAGGCAGGAATTCTGGTGTCCTCTCTCTCCTGCAGTACCCCAAAGCTAGGACAGAATCAGTCTACTTCTTGGAGTATTGATCAAGCAATTGATTTGCCCAGTCTGGGTATGTAGTTACCAGCAACATGCAGGAACATATTATAATGAAAGGTTATCTGAAACAACCAGATGAGATTCTGTGTGTGCTGTAATTATCTCAAGAAACAACTTGCTCATTTGATGATTTGATGGCATTTTTTTCCATTAGAATATGATTTTCAAAAACTTAATTTTTCCTGATCACAGTATCCTAATGGATGAAGAACACCCACTTACAGGGAAAATTTGAAGGGATTTTGCTAATGGATTCAGTGGGGTTTTAGGGTAGAGCCATGGGTCCTCAGGCTTTGACTGGATTTTTTTAGGAGCAGGGATCCTGTGTGTGCAGTAAATACATCTATATGTGTATTGTCTAGGGTATTAGCAGAACTATTTGAGTGCAAGTAAATATGGGAATGTTATGTTGAAAATCTCAGTTATTTCTAATTGATGAAAATACCCTGGTGTTTATACAAACCTACACAGTGACTCACAATGAAATGAAGTCAGCAAAATACCAGACGTTTTTACATCCAAAACAGAGACAAGTGCCATATGTTCATAAAATACTTTTCTCCTTAGTAAATGTTTATGAAGAAAATGAATGGACAATTTCCAAAAAGAGAGATTGTGTAATACTATTTTCAGATAACAGACGTATTTTTTTCATTTAAGATTTTTCCTTTTCATTTGCTTATTTTCATTGCAAATCAGATAACACAGAGGGATATCTACTATAGCACTTGTAGATATTATTTTATTGTGTTCTCTGTCTACCAATGCAGCAAAAAATACAGGAAAACATTTTTCCCTGTAGACCAGAAACCCCTGACTGTTACTGAATGATGGCCCAAAATCCAGTGCCCATGTTCAGACAGAATTTTGTCTAGTAGGTGTTGAGCCTGGAGGAACCCGATGTCAGTGGAAGACACTTTTCACCTCAAAGCTTTTTCTTGGGAGATACCAAGTTCAACAGCAACTGAGCCCTCTAAGGACATGGTAAGAGTTATTGCTTCTTCCTCAGGTATGGGGAATTGGGTAAAAGCAAATTTTGTTTTAGTCCTGACCTGATACTAAATATTCTCTTATTGAGTTTTTCTGCATTAATCTGAGTTATTTATTTTCTTCAATTGCTTATGGATCTTTTAGCAATGAGGATACTAAGCTACTGATCAATGTTAAAAGTATCAGCAGATAGACCCAAGCAGATTCTACAGGTAAGTAGCAAGTGTTTGCTCTCTTTTACAATATAAGGACAAGGAATCATTAAATGAAACTAGTAGGGGCAGTTTCAAAGCAAACAAAAGGACAAGGTTTCATTGAGAAGAGAGTTAAATCGTGGAATGCTGTGATGAAAAATACCATGGCTGTTAAAGGTTTACAGGGTTTCAAACACAACCAAGCACATACATTGGAGTAAAAGGTCTACCAAGAGCTGTTAAAGGGATAGACACATTCCCCGCCAAGGATTTTCAAGTCTATGCCTTGTTTTCATACTCTTCCCCTTACATCAGTTCCTGGAGCTGAGCAATAGGCTGGATTGATCTCTGGTGTGAATCTGTCTACCTATTCTTTGTGCAGCTACATGTTTGAACTTTATCTTCCTGCCTAAAAAGATGGCAAAAAGAAGCTCTCACATTCAATTCTGAGCAATCCTCAGTAGCCTGTAGAAGATTCCAGGTAGCAGGAGAGTTGCAGAATATAAAACAATATAAAGAATACAATAGTGCAATATGAGTGCATTATGATAGCCATCCTGGGAAATAAAAGAATGAGGACATATAGAGTTTTTATTTAATCTATCTGGGAGAAGAATTATTCATTTGACTGAATTGTAGACTTTCATAATCTGGAATAATACACTGCCTATTTTTGTATGAAGAAAGAAAGTCACAGAAAAAACCCACACAGACATGTGGATTCATCTGGATTCTTTGCTGGTGTTGAGAAATAATTTTACCTGGTTTCTAGATTCAAGATAAGTTATTGTAGGCAATCATACTATTAACATTCTAATTTGCTTTGAGGGTTCTCAACCAACCACTAAGCTTATTTGTTTTCTTTGACTTGGCTATATTTTTGACATCTGCAACAGGATGGTTTTCCTGCGTCACTGCTCATTTGGGCCAATATAAAGCATCAGTTGTTTTCAAATATTTGAAAAATTGTATTTGAGGGTAAGGGATGGGTTTACCACTCTTTCCTGTTGTACTGGAGAATTTGATATCCTGTGGCCTGTACACAATATAACATCTGATATTCAGAGCTCCCTGCTTAGATCATAATGGGGTAGGAAGTGTGCCTTATGGGTTGCCCCACACATTTTCTGATAGTTTATCATGGTCTCAGTGGTAGTTCTGGAAACAACAATCCATTTTTTGTTTGCAAACATGTTTTTCTTAATCAGATGTGGAGGTACACAATCTGCCTAGAGCTTTGTGTCCCAGTCACAATCCTCTTTGCAATCAGTCTGAAGTCTTTTTCAGTGTGCACTGGACTATTTGTCCCTTGTTCAGGGAGTGAGGGCTATTCCCTTTTCTTGATATTTTCCTTTTGGTCTGTCTTTTCCAATGTATTTACATAAATCTTTAATTCATAAATTCCCACAATGCAGAGTAGCTCAGTATTGCAAGCTTTGAATTTCACCTATTTAACTAATGGGTGTTTTTTCAAAGCTAATGAAATGCTTTCTGGCATCCTTTTAGCATGTACACCTTTTCAAAGCTTGATTTTAATAAAAGTAATTTTTTATTGTAGGTTTTGCCATTTTTCATGCTGGGTAGTTCTGTTGTTATTGTCTTATATCCATACTGTACATGTTAACCTGGGACTGTATGTGTGAAGAGACCTACAATCTTTTGCTATTCTTGTAGGTTGCTCTGAATGCCAAGCATTATCTTAATTTTGTATATTTGCCACCATGACCAATTCCACATACAGCTTTATTTTTTTTCTTTTCTTTTTATCTTTTTTTTTTTTTTTTTTTTTTTTTTGTGTGTGTGTGCTCTCTGTGAGAGAAAGAACTGCTGTTTCAGCATGTCATAGCACATTAACCACTTTTCAGCAGGTGTTTCTGCACAGGCTCCTACCCTGTGGAGAACAGAAAGTAGCCCAGGAGTGTTTACCCTGTGCAGCCAAAAGCAGCCTTCCTTTGCATGCCCCATGGCACAGCTGCTGCTCAGCCCATGGTGGTCTGGGTATACTCTCGTGTGGAGCCTCCAGAAAATGGGACCACTCCAAAGCAATTTCTCAAGCTATCTACTCAGTTTGTCTCCTCTCTGGTCAGAACAGGGAGGAAAGTCCCACTTCAAAGGCAGCTCCTAACCTGGCCTTCATTTCAAGCTCAATGCAAACAGGACAAACCAGACTGAGGAAGAAAAAGCCTGTGTCTTCCCTCAGGTTGCAGCAGGAACCACCACTCACATTTAGCATGGGGGAGAGAGCTGCTCTATCCCAAGATAACCCCTTGGTACCCACAGTATGCACCTACAGCTCCTCCTGCTCCATCTGCACCCCACCCAAGTCTATTGGGGAGGACCACGTCCAGCTCATTACAGACTGGGGTCTCTGGGCCTGCCAGGCCTGAGGGCTGGCCTCCCTTCATACATTTGTACTGTCTTGATATACATTAGGCTCATCGGAGTCTTGTGGTAAAAGCAAATGCATCACAAATGAATGGAGAAAAAGCGAAGCTCTTTTCACATGGGTTCTGCAAACGCTGAAATCACTACCTGAATAGAAAGTCCACATGCAACTAAAGGGAATATGAGAAAAGAAAACAGTCCCCTGACTTTTTTTCAAATTGCCTTCCTGCCTTTTTTTTTTTTTTTTTTTAAATGGGAATATGTGGTGCTGTGGGTTGGGAATTAAACAGATTTAGCTGGAAGCAACAGATTTGCTTCTTTAGTCTCACAGCGCAGCAACACTTGAATAAACATGAAATGTCCCTGGGAAGAGCCCACCTGAAGCTACTGCCAAGTGACAGACGGGAGAGTTGAAAGGTTGCAACGAGAGAGTCAAACAGAAGGGCACGTTCATTAATGCAGAATACAAGGAGAGAGCAGGGAGAATCAGTCCTTGAGGAGGCAGAAGGAAGACTTGGTACTTTCTCAGCAATGAAGTACTGCCACTGGGAAATATGGTAGCATGCTAAAAGGATTTTTTTTGAGGTTTTTTTGTTACCTGTTTTTTTCCTTGTTAGAGAAATTTCCCAGAAGCTTGGTAAAGGAGGGAATATTCATAGCTTTGGCAGGTCTATATATAATTATATAATATTATGATCTAGCTATATAATGATATAATATTATTATATAAAATTATAATATAATACTTTCCTTGTATGTTGTACTGAGAGGAGGGGAATTTTAAAAGCCTACTGCATTAGTGCATGCTTTCTACATGTCTTGTTCTTGCTGTAGGGATGAAGTAGGAGACACCTCACCCAGGTACGTATCAGGTCTTTTTCACAATTGCTGCTTATTACCATTATTAATTAGTAAGGTAATTTCAAGTTTTAGTCTCACACTAAAAGGAAACTGGAGGGAGGGTATGCAAAGTAACTGAAAGTAAGTCTGCTTAATTTCAGAGACCTGGGGTGAGGCCAGATCTTGTGTAGCAGGTAGTGTTCTCAAAACAAGTGAGAGAAATTTTAAGGCAAGAGCTTGTGAAATAGAATGAGACTTCTTTTCACTTCCACTGTAAATTTTATATACATCTAACCAGTGCCATATTGCAGTTCTTTGCTCTGAAAAGCAAGATGTCCTTATGTTGCAGGTCCAAGTCTTGCACAGCAGTTACATGCTTGGCAAAATGGAGATACTGTAAGACTCTGTGTGTTTTAGAGATCTTGGACTGCTCCAGGTCTTGGAAAACCCATTATTTTAAATGTAAGCAAACCCAGACAGCCTGGATGTGTCACCAGTCAGCATGGGCTCTGAAGCTACTTGTTTTCTTTCTGAGTTGAGCACTACAAATCTTCCTTTCCTTCACTGTGTACTTCCTTTTGTCACTAGCCCCATCCTCTGATTGTCTTCATCTGGGAGCTTCTCAAGGAATCAAGACGATGTAACCATGTTTCTCTTCCCATGGTATCTGCTCAGGGTGATATTTCTCCACTTGATGGTTTGGTGGCTTCTCCATGTTCCATTTTTTTTTCTCTGTTTTAAATAGGCTGAAGAGGATCTCATCACAAGTTAACAGCTGAATTCCCTGTTGACTCTTACAGGATGCACCCACTCTGTCAGGAGAATACAAGGAATGAAGGCAGAAGCTAGAACCTCCACGGTCAACAGGTGGCTTTAGTCCAGTTCAATTAATTAATCTACACCAATTTGTATAAATCTGTGAATTTATGACAAAGCTATGATTTTTGGCTTCTGGAGGTCAAGCGTTTGATACTTCTGAGGATACTGAATGACCAATATATGCAAATTTCTGACATTTGCTTGCCCTTATATTTTTTCCCAAATATAAATATACTGTCTTACTAAATAAAGATATTCTACTAGAATCTTGTAACAGATCTGTGTCTATGAGCTGGAAAACAAGGAAGGAAATTTTGCTCAAAGAGAAGATGAAAAAGACACTCTACTTTTTCAGTAGTTCATGACCATATCCAGAAAGTTTTCTTTAACTCAAAAGCTGCCCATAATTTCACAGTGCATTATGCATCTTCTGCATTTTCTATGGTCATTTGCTAAGATACAACATTGACTAAATAAAGTGGCTCATTGAGACAGAAGATGGATGTGACCTGCAAGCACTAAAGAACCTCAGTAGACCTCTGCAGATTTTACTGACCTTGCAGGGATAGTTTGAAAATAGTTTGCCTCTGAAATATAGTCTTGCCCATGTTGCTATTTAATGTAAGAAAAGATACATAGCTACAAAATGCTTAGGGAGTCGCACTGAGTCATGTACAGAAGAGAACTCTCAATACAAGATGTCCTAAGCTAAAGTCTTACACAACAGACATGCAAGTGCAAGGGTGGGTTATGAGGCAAGTATTGTTGCTAGCATGAAAACATGGTATGTTGCAATAGCACAAACTTCCAAAAAAATTACACCTCCTATCAAAAAGTAATTTTTTTTATGATGCAAACAGCTGATAAATTTTAGAAAACATTAATATAGAACTAAAGTCATACAGCCAGGAATAAGCCATCGTTCCCTGCGCAAATGGATCAAACCTCACAGCATTAACATGCAGATGAGGCACGATACTGACTTGAGAGAGAATTCCAGAGGAGTGGTATGAAATCATGCAAACTTCCAGGTCTTTGCTTATGAATAAAATATGAAAATTTTCTCACCAAGTGAAGATAGCCACTATGTTGAAAATTTTACCAACAATTGGATTACTTGCAATCATGGAGATCATGCAGGCTAGAAGATATTACATAATTCTACCCATTTGGGACATTCTACTTAGGAGCACAATATTTAAAACTTTCAGCTATTGAGAACACTAAGAAAACTTACTTTTAGAGAAAAGTAATATGAGGCCTTGAAAACTTGAAAATGTCTTGAAAAGACATCATGTTCCCGAGTAGCATATTCCCTAAAATGTTTGTTTAAAGTGTATTTTAATTTTAAGCCCTTCTACCCTAGCAAAGATTTATTTGCACATCTGGAATTAGGTATTTAGGCATTTTCTTAAGAAATATGTAGCTCCTTCTCATCCTCTCTAGTGGTCCTATCATGTTTTCCATCCAGATGTAGGTAAAGAGCTTGGCTTGGACTTCTGAACTTTTTGCTGCTGAACAGAGAAAATCAGACAACTGCAAGATTCTCTTAGTGTCCTATTACAAAACACTTATACGTCCATCTCGTGCCAGGACTTCCTCCTTGAAATGCTTCTGGTAAAATACCAGGAGCTTGATCCCTTTCAAGGAGGACTGGCAATTAAGAGGCCTCATTCCACCCCAAAGCCTGCTTCTCTAGCAAAGGCAAATCTTTCTAGCTGAATAAAATTCCTTTGCTCATAGTTAGGGAACTGACTACTTCACTCAGATCAAAATACCAAATACTTTCCTGAACTTTCTGCATCTCCTTGTTAGGTACTTGAGTTCTAGGAGCAGATTGCATAGAAAGCCTTGGAGCCCAAGGTGAATCAAACTCCAAAATTATTTGATTTCGTGCCCTTTGATTCCACTGAGATGGGTAGTGCTGGCAGGGCAGTAATCTGCTTTGAGGCTGTTGGCCTTCTTCTGAAGGGTACTTCAGAAGAAGACTGGATTTCCTTGAGCTCATCCTACTTTATAACTGCAGAGGGATATGTGGGTATGAGTTTTGATGACAGATTGTCGCTCTAAGCACACTAAGCATAACTCTAGGTAAAACCAAAAGCTCCTAGTATTCAAGGAGTATTCTGCAAACATGGCAAGAAAACAAATTTAATTTCATTTCACTTTTTCTTCCAGGACATGCCTTGCTCACAAAGGAATATTGAGAGGAAAGGAATGCCTTGGCAAATCAATTACTTCTGCAATGCTTAGATCAAAATTCTGGCATGATGTTTGAACAGAAGTCTCTTGTGGTAATATACATTGTACTCTGCCTGGCATGCTGCTCATCTTTGTTGGGCAAAATAGTCACAAAAAGCAAAGGCCTTATTTGTCACTTCTGTGAAGCAGCCCGTCTTAAGTAAACAACCTTGCTAGGGCTTTATCAAAAGCCTGCAGAAATCAGTGATGGGCTTTAGCCCCTTGCAGAGACCTTGCTGCCATGCCCAGCTCTATGCTGGAAGGGTGCAGTTCCCTGCTCAGGTGTGCACCTGCTGCATCCTGGCCAGCTGTTCCACACAGAAATCCACTTACTTGTGTTTACTGCCTTGCTGTGGGACAAGCTCTAACAAGCCTTCAACACTAACTGGCTTTTCATGGCCAAAGTTCAAACATACAAAATGAAGCATACCCCATGTATTCAGGCTCTTTCTGCTCTTTAATCAACATCTTTCTTTACTCCCCCATCTAACTTCACCCTTTTTAATTTACTGTGTAAAACAATTACACATTTTTTCTTTCTGTAGTGTGCAGAGATACATTTCCTCTAATTACAGCTCCCCAATATCCTAAGAAAGATTCTATGTAATTTTTTCAATGACTCTAACCATTCTTTACCTTGGGAATGGAGCTTCAGCTGTGACTTTACATGTGGACTATTCCTAATATTAGGAGTCTAGTCTTCTTTGCTAATAAGAAGGGGGTTTAGAAGAAAAGGAAATTATACCCTGATGAAGGATTGCCAATTCTCACACTATTATTATGAGTCTCACAGTATTTTGCTTGAAGTCTTAACTCCCTCAAGGCAGGTGCTTTAGTGAAGGTCTCAGTTTTCTTTCTTTCCCCCTCTTTTCCTTTTTTTTTTTTTTCTTTAATCTCAAGGGAATATTTCTAGATTCTAAATTTATGATGATAATCTTTAAAATTTCATCTTGATCTAGCAGGATGAAGAGGCAAAGAAAAGCACTTCAGAAAGTTAATTGAAAACCAAAATTTTCTAACCAAGTTTATGAACTAGTCCCATTTCGAGAATAAAGGACTGATCATATCAAGAGATAGAGTAGTCTACCAGGCTTCCAAAGACAAAAAATAGTTGTAAGTTTATTGACTGTTATTAGCACATGTAACTATTTTAATATCCTTTATTTCAGTTCTTCACCAAGTTCTCAGGATGATGACCTTGGCTAGATCTTTGGGTTGGTACTGTAATAAAAATTATCTGTGGAGCTTGGTAACATCGTCTATAATTAAAGTTTCCTAACATTCTGTATTTTAAGATGCTGTTTTTTGTTGCATATAATTTGCCAGATTAACTGCAATTACTCAGGTGTTCGCCTGGGTTAAAGGGAACCTTTTTCTGAATAAAGTTTTAGCTGAAGTGTTTCTCTACTTCCTAGAATAGGTTGAGGGGGAAAAAGGTCGTTTGAAAACAGTTTGCATGAAAAAGTTGAAAGGTATGACTGACAATTGCTGGCATTTTCCTGCTTTGCACCAGAGGCCAGGTCTTTGTCAGAAAGCAGTCGCTGCTTCCAGAGGTGGGCTTTGTGCTATCCCTGAGAAACTCTCTTCTAATTTGGCCTGGTTTGGAGCCCCCGCAAATCACAAGGTCACAAATGTTTACCTGATCTTTGGTTAAAAACCTCTGCTGCTATTCTGCAGCCTCTGAAAGTAGATTGTCCAAGTACTTAACTCTAATTAGAGAGGTTTTCCTAATATCTATCTGGAATCTTCCTTGCTATGAAGTAAGATAAATTCTTCTTGTACAACAGTGAATGGATATCAGCGAGAGAACAACTGATCACTGCCCTCTTCAGAATAACCTTTAATGTATTGTAAGACTGTTATCATGTCCCTGTTCAGTCTTCTCATTTCTAGACTAAACAAACCCCATTCCTTCAACCTTTTCTCATAGTTCCAGTTTTCTAAACCTCTTGTCATCCTCATTGCTCCCCCTCTGGCTGCTTTCCAGTATATCTGCATGGGCTTTTTTTTGCTGTGCAGTGCCCCAAAATGGACAAAGTTGCAGTAACATAAGGTAGGGTAAGTACTTCTCCTGTATCGCATACAACATTCCTTCCAATATCAGACAGAATTAAATTGTCCTTTATTTTCATCAGCATCAGTTTATAAATACATATCTGATTTGTCCTGCACTGTGACCTTCCTCTTGGTATTGTTGTCTGCTCCATTACTCCTCATTTTACTAGCATTTTTCTTCTCCTTCCTAAGTGCAGGGAAATACATTTATCTTCACCAATTAAATTTGGTTAATTTTAGACAATGCCTCCAATTTACCAAGGGCGGTTTCAATTCTAATCCTAACCTCTTAAAAGCTTTCAGCTCCCTCCAGCTTGACATTGTCTGCAAATTCTACACATTTTCACTCTTTTCCATTATCCAAATCATTAACAAAAATATCAGATAGACTAAACATTACAGAACCTGCTTGGACCACACTTGAAATTCCTTCCCAGCAGAATATCAAGTAGCAAAATTACTTTCTAAGCAGCCTTTGTAGGTGCGTGACCTCACGCATTTGCATGCTCCTGTTTTCAGTAGCAGCAATAATATCAAAAGCAGAGGGCAGGAGGCAAAATTCCTGGCCCAGGAATCCACCTGTCTGCTGCCGCTGCTGGGACTGTGCAGGGAAGCCCCCAGGAGGAGAAGTGGCAGCTCTTGTGGGTATGTGGGGGGAAGCAATGGAAGTACAGAAGGCCAGGGAGCAGAGGCAATCTGTGAGAGGCAGAAAGGCTGGTTTGGAACCATGACACACTTAAGTGTCTGTGCAGATGTTCCAGGGATCAGGACCCAGCCATCTGCCCTGGCAAGCAAACCTGCAACCTGCCACAGAGGAGAGCAGGTTCTTGAGGCTGCTGCTCAGCATCAGAGGTCAAAGGGGTGCTGGAGCTGGAGTCTCAGGCTGCTGTCATGCATTTAAGATTGGGCAGCTAGAGAGGTTATTGTACAGTAAAAAATGTTAAAAATATATATATACACAAATAGATCT